TGCGGCAACTATACCATGCTATGTCACGGTATCATAGTATCCAGCACACACACAAAAACTGTTGCCAGAACAGTCAGCAGGCATGCACGTTATACTGCGACCAGGATGGCATCTATGAGCATTAAATAATTGTAGGCAAATCAAAATGGGTTCTGCAATTTAGCATCTCACCCTTCCCCTTTTTCCCACAACCCTGAACTGAACAGTCTTGCTGTTGTAATTTTCAGCCTTAAAAGATTTAGCAGAACTAAATGAGATTTTTAAACCTTCGATGACATAACTGAAGTAAAAAACAAACCCAGCACAGTAACAAGTGTCATAACATCTTTTCTGTTACTTAATCAACATTTTAAAGCAAACAGCATATTTACAGTTATCAGTCTCCTTACATAACTTTAGTATTAATCAGTACTAAACAATTACATCAGCCCTCTGATCAGGTTTGTATAAACAAGAGTATATTTCATTCAAATTAAAACAAATACTAAATCTTTGAACTGACTAGCAACATAGAGAGAAACCACAGCATATATTTCCATACTTGAGCTGTTTACAGTCTTTGTGGCCACGTTTGTTAGCAGGTTAGGTAGATGAAATCATTATACCTTGATGAGGAATTAAAGATTACTGGGATGACTTACTGATTGTATGGAACATATGATGGAACATGCATCCATTAGAGGTTACAGCATCTTCAATATTGAAAAATAAAAAAATCTCTCCCCGCCAGGGATCTTCTATGAGAGTTATAACAAAGTTTCACAAAGTCATAGCTAAGAAAAAAAATCACAACGATCGCCTCAGAGCCAACACTATTCTACAGTCTCTACAACAGATTTAAATTCTTTTTAGAAAAGCAATCACCGTGCAAATCATACAGAATACTTCCTTCTCATATGAAAAAAAAAAACCAAAAACAAAAACAAAAAACAGAAAAATGCATATATATTAAGTACATATCTGCATAGCTTTAAGACATCACGAAAAAAACAAATCTCCACCAGTGCCATCAGCTGAGTTCACAGAAATACATACCTGCCGATCTGCTTAGTATTTAAAGTTCTCTCAGTAATTCACAAGGCCGCTAATTTTGATCACCTAAATCCTTTTCTCGGAACTAACGGCCGGTATACAGAAAACCTTAAAATGCTAACCTCTGCTTTCCTCCTGGAGAAACTCTGCTCTAAACTCGGTTCAGCTAAATTACAAAAAAACCCACCTACAGCCAGATTTGCTAATGAAAAGGGGGTGCTTTCTGAACAATAGGAGAATTCCTCTGCATTTAGAATGTAGAGTTCCCATTAGAACAAAGAATCACAAATGCCAGTTTTACCTCTGTTTTTTAATTGAGATTGTCCCAGCCCTCTTCTACGGTCCAGTGAGACAGTGTTTGTGAAATGATTAAAAAGAACGTGATCTGATCAAGAGGATGGAATAATGGGAAAGGAATGCTAGGTTAGCCACAGTGCTAAGTGCTGAGAAAGAAGACCAAGAGGCTTCTTAGCCTATTGTTTTTATTCCCATCTGCTTTTTAGCCACCTCACAACACTTTTTATTCCTTATTTACTCTAGTAAAAATAGGTTAAAAGTTGCACACTTGCCTCTGAATTTGGTAACAAGTTCAAGAAATCTTTGGGGAAACAAAAAAAAAAAAAAAAAAAAAACCCCCCCCCCCCCCAAAAAAAAAAAAAAAAAAAAAAAAAAAAAGAAGAGAGAAAATAAATAAAAATCCTTGAATTATATCAAGTTTCCAAAAGGTCATCACTGTCTCTGCTGTGGCCTTTTCCCCATACCAAATCCTCTATCAATATGTCATAGTGAGTTAGGCAAAGACAAAAGAGAGGCTCAGTGTGAAAACTGCACATATATCTAATCCTGACAAAGCAATGAATAGGCCTTCACAAGTATAATTATACTTGTTTATTTGTTGCCACGTACAGAGACTGATGAAAAAATCCATCAAAGTGGTATTATGCAGACACCAAGAGCTTCTTTTCTTTGGTTGCTAAAGCCACATTGAGGCTTAAATTCCTTATTGTTATATTCAGAAGAAAGAAAAAAAAAAAAAGATTTTGGTTGGACTTTTTTGCATCAATTGCTGACAGATCCTTTGTGTATAGTGCTGTATTATTAGATGCATTAGCTAGAAACTTGCTCACACTGCTTCTCATTTTAGCCCATGCTGCAATCCATAATTATAAACTACTGTACACAGTACCTTTTAACAGGGTGTGGTAAGCACTTAGCTGACCACGAGTTGAACAGATTTTAAATTTTTTTAAATTGCCCGTTTTCCCAAAATCACTTGTTTGAAATACCCAAATACAGGTAAGGAACCTGTCCTAGAATCACTGTGGATATTTTTTTTTTTTTTTCTTAAGCTTACAGCTGCAAGGAAATGGAAGGTGGGTTAGTGTAACGCAGGGTGTCTTTCATTTCAGCCTCTTCGGTGTGGAAGATATGTAGCAGTTTGTCTTCCTGCACAGAAGCCATCTAGACA